CTTTGCATGCTACTTGCCATCAGCAAATCACGCGAAATAATACTGGATTTGCGGATGAACCAAAAATGCCTTGAGAGCGCCCGCGGACGCCCGACGATAGCACCTCTGAGAATCAACTTGAGCTGTACGAAGCGGAAGCTTTCACGTCTAGTTCTGAGGACCTACCTATTATTCGAAAAGAGAAACGAAAGAATAAAACGCTTGCTTTTGTCAGCATTAAGGTGTCTCTGGTGTTTCTGTTTCGTGTCTCTATTGGGATTTTTCTCACGATTTTGTCCAATGCAAGTTTTCTATTAACAGATTCTGGAGGGAAGCAAACAGAAGGTTGAGAATCTTTTTCAAATGTCATTTTTTTGATTAAATCCGTTCCAAAAAAAGGAAAAAAATCTCTGAACCGAAGTCTCTAATTTCTTCATCAACAACTCGTTTAGGGCTTAGTATAATAAAGAATCTTATCCACTTCAAAGTGGGCTTTGATACGGGATCGTAAAGTACGAAAAACCGATGGCGAGATTCTATGCCAAGTTTATAGAAAAAAATTCAGTCAAGTTTATGGAAGCCAAATTCTTTTGTTCTTTGGAGAGAATTGGAGTTGGGTACAAAGCCAGTACTAATCCACAAGGCTCTATTTTATATCTAAAATTAGGCTTTAGTCATGAGATTCGACTTCAAGTCACGTCTGCAGTTCGCGTTTTTTGCTTCAAGCCCAATATCATTTGTCGTACCGGAATAGATCATCAAAAAGTAACTCAATTTGCTGCCAGCATCAAAGGTTGTAAACCTCCCGAAGTTTATAAAGGAAAAGGTATACAATATCGAAATGAAATTCTACATAAAAAACAAGGAAAAAAAAAAGAAATCATGTCATATATTTTAGGAACTAATTTAGTGCCGAATAAACAAGTAGAAATTGCTTTAACTCGAATCTTTGGACTTGGCCCCAGAAAAGCAATTCAAGTGTGTGCTCAATTAGGGTTTAATGATAACATTAAAGTTAATAAGTTAACTAAGTACCAAATTGACCGAATTCTCAAAAGAATAAGTCAAAATTCTTTAGTTGATTCGGAATTAACGAGAGTAATTCAGAGGGATATTAAACAATTGATGAGTATTGGTTGTTATCGCGGTTTTCGCCATAATGCGGGATTGCCCTTACGTGGTCAACGAACTCATACTAATGCTAAGACTTGTCGCAAATTCAGAAACGTTTCGATCAATCAACTTCGTTGATTCAGGCCGCAGGCTGTAAGTTTTTTTTATTATCCATGATAAGTGATGAAGGCGCGAAGCGATGTGTAATGAAATTGAAATTTACTATTACACAGTTTGTTATTAGCTTCTTCTCCGCAAAACATCATCAATTGGTAAGGCCGGCTCCTATTGGTCGGCATATAGACGCAACGGGTCAAAGGGACGCAGTAAATACTATATATATATATATATATATTTTTTTGAGTCATCGCATATTTTTCATCTATTCTTGCACCGTAACCGCTTTTCGGCAGGGCGGGCTCGGATGATAGAATCTCTCACCCGGAGAACCAAAAGCTGCGGCGTTCTCTTTTGTTCAATGGACTATCTCGTACAAATTTTTTCCACAAAATTTCTTTTTCATTAGTAAACAGATAAGATGGATTGGAAAAAAACCCGATCGATGATATCAAACAAAATCTAAACGTTCGAAAAAAACTCATGCAGAAGAAAAAAAAGCACGGTATTGCATATATTCGATCAACTTTAAGTAATACCATCATTACTGTAACAGATCATAAGGGAGATACAAAAACTTGGTCCTCCTCAGGTTCATTGGGGTTCAAGGGATCTCGTCGCTCAACCAATTATGCTGCTCAAGCAACTGCAGAAAATGCTGCCCGAACTGCTATTCAACTAGGAATTAGGTCGGTTGAAGTTGAAAGAAAAGGGTTAGGTTATGGAAAGGAATCGTCGCTACGTGGTTTACGACTAGGAGGTCTTATTATTACTAAAATAAGAGATGTAACCCCAACCCCACATAATGGATGCCGACCCCCTAAAAAACGCCGTGTTTAAATAGAATCATAAAGTTATTCATTTTCAATTACTTGACAATGCAATATGGTGAAATCCCGGGGTACAGGCCCGGTTTAACCATTTCCTAATGCTAATGTAGGAAGCCCTCGTTAGCATTTAACAGCGAGTTTCTCATATCTGGGAAGATAACAACAAGTGCCAATCCTTTCCAGTCTTATTCTAAAAACCAGCCAAGTTTGTGGGTAAA